TTTTTTGGGGGGGGGGGGGGGGGGGGGGAGGATGTTTGAATATTTTCCATTAGAATATTCTTGAAAAGAATCCTCTTGAGGCCATATAAAAGGATTCCGCTAAAGATGAGATTATATTTTTTAGGCGTAGACAATGAGCGCTGTTATGAACCATCGTTTCAAGACAATTAACACGTTCGCTACCACAGTTTATCAGGGGAAGAAAAATCCCCTTTCTCCACAGTTACATTTGTTTTCATATAATTATAAAACAAACTTGGTTCATTTATATATAGATATACAAAGAAATGTGTCATACACATGTGACATTGGAATAGCTAACATGTTAAGTAAAACCGAAATTTTTGAGCAAAAATAAGCTCGTGAGAGATCGGTGCGCGCATCACACATACGAGTATGTGAAGCAAACGTGTTAAAGGATACCAATTCCTAACTGGACATTCTTACTATTTTGGTCTTCAAATGCAAATATTTAGAGACTGAAATATTATGAAAATGTTCAGGATTAAGTATATCGCACGTACTTTTACCTCATCGGCAAAGTTTGATGTAATTGCTCAAGCAGAGAAAATAACGAAAAAATAATTGAACATTATTTCGCAAACTTGAACGTTCATTGTTCTCAGTGAGACAATCATCTCCTCGTGTCGCATGCGATCGTTGTGTAATACCGCGCAGCGCGCTTACGCAACCGCGTATCATCGACGTAATCGCCGATAGCTTCTACCGCAGTAAATCCGTGTTACGCAAAAATGAAAAAAAGAGGAAAAAAAGGGGAAAAAGCGATGCGAAGAGACCAAAGCAACTCGCCCGGTTACACATACAAATATTTTGCATTTTTTCGCTCTCACTCCGAGATTATTCAATTCAAATAGATTAATCTAAAAGTCAGACACGTCAAGAGCTTTCGGAGAATGTATACATTTCCATGGAGAAGGTCGGAAAAAAAAAACGACGAGAGGATTCCAATATTATAAAGAGTTGAGTCTTCAAGGATAGAGTCTACTCGGGCATTTTTGCACAAATTTGATACGTGCGTATATATACTGCTTTAAAGTTGCGAATACTTTCAAGGGAAATCCGACGCCGCGTAATAACTACATGTAACAATCGCGCGAAATCGATACGTATCTCTGAATTTACATGCACAGTCGGCGTTCGTATTACATTTAAACGAATGTTAAACAAATTCAACGGCCGTGAGTCTCGACCCCGTCGTCCTCATCCCCGATCAAAGTCGACTCTCACCCCGTGCGCGCGCACGGTCGACCCTCCTTCTTTCTTCGCTCGCGCTTACGGATCTCGCCAGCAGTGCCAACCCAGACTACCACCGAGTGTTCCACGCCGGTGCCGCTAGCAGTGGGGTTGGAAACTGGCTCAGAAACTGAGCCGCGACGGCGGCGGCGGCGGCGGCGGCGGCGGCTACGTGGTGTACG